GCAGTACTTTAACTTCTTCAAGACACTCTCCTCCACATCCAAACCACCACCATTCACACGCTCTTGGATGTAGCCGCACGAGAAGACTTCGAGATCAAATCCATGGACGTCTCATCGGCATTCCTGCAAGGACACCTCAAGGAGACAGTGTTCATGGATCGACCTGAAAACTTTTGAGGAGAGTTCCCTCCCAACATTGTATAGAAGCTGAATCGCCCAAGCACGCCCCTTGTGAACGACACAACAAAGTGAAAGAAGTCCTTCTCTCATTAAACTTTCACCCATCATCTTCTAACCCGACTCTCTTCATTCGCCGTCACTTTGCGCCATTCTACATCCTTGTCTATGTCGATGACTATCCTCGTTGCCAAGGACTTGGCCCAGATGACCTCTGTCCAGGCGGCCCTGAACAAGGCCGTCCTGATGAATGACTTCGGTGACCTTAAGCCCTACCTGGGGATGAAGATCACTCGTGATCGCCAGGCTCGCACCATTTCACTCTCCCAGGAGTTCTACATCAACAATGTGCTCAAGCGGTTTGAGATGGAGCTGTGCACACCTGTTGCCACCCCGCTGCCGCTGCAACACCTCCTCACAGCCCCAGCTGTACCCACACCAGAGGCCTGCTCTGAGCCATACCCGGAGCTTGTTGGGTCCCTCATGTACGCCATGATGTGCACCCGGCCTGACCTGACATATCTTGTCAGTGTCCTCTCTCGCTACGTGGCCCCTGGACGCTTCACTGATCTTCACTGGAAGGCGGCGAAGCTGGTACTACGTTATCTTCAGGGCACCAAGTCTCATGTTCTCACACTTGGTGGGGCTTTCCCCTCCCACCTGGAAGGTTACACTGATTCCTTTTGGGCTGATGACCAGACCGGTCGACGCTCTTCCCAGGGCTACTGCTTCACCCTTGGGAGCGGTTTTGTCAGCTGGCGCTCCACCAGGTCGTCTGCAGTCTCCCTCTCCTCCTGTGAGGCAGAGCTCTACGCTGGCACCATGGCTGCTTAAGAGGCCCGTTGACTCACCTTCCTCCTCCAGGAGCTTGGCTACCCTCAGTCCACTCCCACCCTCTAGTGTGACAACAAGAGCACCATCCACCTCTCCCAAGACCCCGTGTATCACACTCGCACCAAGCACATTGAACTTCGGCACTTCTTCATCCGTAACCTTATCCAGCGGGAGCAGTTGAACGTGGAGCACGTTGCATCTGACTGCAACTTGGCTGATCTGTTCACCAAGCCCCTTGGGAAAGTTCCCCACCACCGTCTCCTTGGCGCCATGGGGCTCTGTGCTCCACCTTCTCTGCCCTGAGTTCGATTGACGTCTATGGGGGGATGTTAGTGTTAATCCTCAATCTCATACTTTGTATTTTGCACTTTCTATATCCTAGCGTAGTGTAGTTTGCACATTGTGTTTGGTTGGGTGTACACCTACATCCCAACCAAACCCAAATGTAATCTCCAAGCAATCTCCAACCCACCAATTGGAGATTGCCTTGGGATTACCCCCAATCCCTAGAGATTGCCCCCGATTCCCTTCCCCATCCATTGCTTGCCCATCTTGGATGTACTTAAAGAGCTTCAAGCTCATTACTAATTCATTGGTCTAAGCCTAAGTTGTGACACATGCTTCTTGGGCAACATGCTGCAGGTAGTGCCTCGTGCAGGTAGTGCCTCGTGCAGGTAATGCCTCGTGCAGGCAATGCCTCGTGCAGGTAGTGCCTCGTGCAGGTAGTGCCTCGTGCAGGTAGTGCCTCGTGCAGGTAGTGCCTCGTGCAGGTAATGCCTCGTGCAGGTAGTGCCTCGTGCAGGTAGTGCCTCGTGCAGGTAGTGCCTCGTGCAGGTAGTGCCTCGTGCAGGTAGTGCCTCGTGCAGGTAGTGCCTCGTGCAGGTAGTTCCTCGTGCAGGTAATGCCTTGCCTTGCACCGGTGTTATCTGACGTGGGTGTTATCTCATCCCTTAGCCAAGGGCTTCCTGGGAAACATGCTGCTGCTCTCCTACTTCACGGCTAAGAGGGAGCTCTCTGCTTGCCTGGTGCAGGTACCACCCACCAGCTTGATAGGTGCTGCGTGGGCTACCAGGTAGCGACCCCTGAGTTGCCACGTCTCCTGTGTTACCCATGTGTCCAGGGCTCGTCTCACCCACTCGCCACAGGCTTCCTGGGCAGCATTCTGCTGCTCCCATACTTCGCGCGAGCTGTCTGCTTGCCTCGTGCAGGTTGTACCTTGCCACATGCTGCCTGGCCAGGTGCTGCCTTGCCAGGTTCTGCGCAGTCTTTGTGTTCCCTTGTCCAAGGCTCGTTCCATTCATCCACAAGTGTTTGTTGCTGCTCTCTCTCTTCACACCGCCACGAGACACTCTGCTTGCCTGCTTCTGCAGGCTACATGCCGCCGCCAGCCTTCCCCGCCGTCCCCCTTCCCCTCTGTCTCAACCATGCGGCGCGTGCTGGCTCCACAAGTGTTTCTCAACCATGCGGCGCGTGCTGGCTCCACAAGTGTTTCTCAACCATGCGGCGCGTGCTGGCTCCACAAGTGTTTCTCAACCATGCGGCGCGTGCTGGCTCCACAAGTGTTTCTCAACTATGCGGCGCGTGCTGGCTCCACAAGTGTTTCTCAACCATGCGGCGCGTGCTGGCTCCACAAGTGTTTCTCAACCATGCGGCGCGTGCGTGCTGGCTCCACAAGTGTTTCTCAACCATGCGGCGCGTGCTGGCTCCACAAGTGTTTCTCAACCATGCGGCGCGTGCTGGCTCCACAAGTGTTTCTCAACCATGCGGCGCGTGCTGGCTCCACAAGTGTTTCTCAACCATGCGGCGCGTGCTGGCTCCACAAGTGTTTCTCAACCATGCGGCGCGTGCTGGCTCCACAAGTGTTTCTCAACCATGCGGCGCGTGCTGGCTCCACGAGTGTTTCTCAACCATGCGGCGCGTGCTGGCTCCACAAGTGTTTCTCAACCATGCGGTGCGTGCTGGCTCCACAAGTGTTTCTCAACCATGCGGCGCGTGCTGGCTCCACAAGTGTTTCTCAACCATGCGGCGCGTGCTGGCTCCACAAGTGTTTCTCAACCATGCGGCGCGTGCTGGCTCCACAAGTGTTTCTCAACCATGCGGCGCGTGCTGGCTCCACAAGTGTTTCTCAACCATGCGGCGCGTGCTGGCTCCACAAGTGTTTCTCAACCATGCGGCGCGTGCGTGCTGGCTCCACAAGTGTTTCTCAACCATGCGGCGCGTGCTGGCTCCACAAGTGTTTCTCAACCATGCGGCGCGTGCTGGCTCCACAAGTGTTTCTCAACCATGCGGCGCGTGCTGGCTCCACAAGTGTTTCTCAACCATGCGGCGCGTGCTGGCTCCACAAGTGTTTCTCAACCATGCGGCGCGTGCTGGCTCCACAAGTGTTTCTCAACCATGCGGCGCGTGCTGGCTCCACAAGTGTTTCTCAACCATGCGGCGCGTGCTGGCTCCACAAGTGTTTCTCAACCATGCGGCGCTTGCTGGCTCCACAAGTGTTTCTCGACCATGCGGCGCGTGCTGGCTCCACAAGTGTTTCTCAACCATGCGGCGCGTGCTGGCTCCACAAGTGTTTCTCAACCATGCGGCGCGTGCTGGCTCCACAAGTGTTTCTCAACCATGCGGCGCGTGCTGGCTCCACAAGTGTTTCTCAACCTAAGTTGGATCTTACGTTTACGGTTCCTTACGTTTTCGTAAAATTACGACAATTTTTACGTTTACGAACGGTGGCCCTGATTCGGCCTTACGTTTACGGTCACCTCAAAACTTTTTTGAGCTGCCCAAGGGAAAAGAAATGACCAGAGTATTAGGGGGATTCATTGGGTAAACCATGAATCTGAATTCTCGATTCAGATCCAAGTTCGACAAGGGTGGTGTCAACCTAGCAGCTCGTTCGTAATCTATCGTGTTTCTCTCCTACTAACCAGGTCAACGCTGAATCTGAAACTTTCACGGACTCAAAAGGCCCTCCATACGTAGTAAAGTCGCTATTCTAGAAAAACACACGTCGGATTAGTAGTAAGGATCTAGTACACGTACATAATCCTGGAAAAAAAAGCTCTAAACTTTTTTTTTCCTGCCCGCCTCATACTTACGCGTAATTTACGTTTTCGTTTACGTTTACGCGAAATTTACGTTTACGTGACCTCCAAAAACGTAAGAGCCCAACTTAGTTCTCAACCATGCGGCGCGTGCTGGCTCCACAAGTGTGTCTCAACCATGCGGCGCGTGCTGGCTCCACAAGTGTTTCTCAACCATGCCGCCGCCAGCCATCATCGCCGTCGCTGCCTGCCTGCTGCTCGGCTGTGCCATCACGGCTGTTAACTGTCAACCGCCTGCACTTTACACGCCGCTACCAGCACTCCCCGCCCTCAACCCCCGACCCCCTTCCTTCCCTCTTTGCCTCCACCTCTGCTTTCCCCTCCTGCCGTCGCGGTTGCCCCCTGTCTATCAGGTAGTAGGGGCCGCCTTCACGGCCATGCACCTCTCTCAAGTGTTCATTGAGGGCTTCATGCCGCCCCCAGCCTGCGAGTGCTTCATGCCATCATCAGCATTCTCCTCACAACTGTCAACCACCTACCCTCCTCCCGTTCCCACCCACCAACCCACCAACCCCCCTCTCCCTGTCGATCAGGTAGTAGGGCCGGCCTCCACAGCTGTCCTCCTCTTGCAGGTGTTCATCACGGGTTTCATGCCGCCCCCAACCTTCACTGCTCTGGCGCTCTATCTGCTCCCGTTCTTCCCCCATGCCACTTTCCCCCCTCTTCCCCCCCTCTTCCCCCCCTCTCCCCCTCCCCCTTCTCTATCAGGTAGTAGGAGCCAACTCAACGGCCATCCTGCTCTCGCAGGTCTTCATTGCGGGGTTCATGCCGCCACCAGCATTCACAGCAGTGGCTGCCTATCTGGCATCTGCTGCTCGGCTGCACTCTCACTCACCGCCGTTCCCCTGCCCCCTTCACTTACCCCCTCCTTCTTTTTACTCCCTTTGCCAGGTAGTGGGAGCCACCTCCACAGCCATCCTGCTCGCTCAAGTCTTCATAGCGGGCTTCATGCCGCCACCAGCCTTCACAGCCGTGGCGGCCTATCTGCTGCTCGGCTGCGCCGTCAACTGCCTGCGCTTCACCCGCCACCTGCCCCAGCCCCTGTGGGACACGTGGCAGGACGTGATTGGCGTTCTGGGGCTCGCCGTGCTGCCGCAGGTGCGGCAACCAGCTGCTGAATCGCCTTGCTGCCTTGCTGCCTGCCTGCGATTGGCTGCCTGCTATTGCCTTGCTGGAAAGCCTTTTTATGAAGTTTGCCTTTCCTCGCCTCAAACATCGTGAGGGCCCATTGTATTGTGCAGCCACTCGTGTGCTCTCCCCTCTTCTCCTCCCTCCATTTGCATTCCTCCCTCCATTTGCATTCCTCTCTCCCTGTTCAATCCCTCTGCATCTGCATACCTCCCTTCATCCCCATTCCCGGCTATTTTCCAACAGTACCTCTTACCATGCCATACTTCAAATCTCATTCCCCTCCGCCCGATACTCGCCTCTCCCCTCCACCACTCCATGTTATTCCCCTCCACCACTCCATGTTATTCCCCTCCACCACTCCATGTTATTCCCCTCCACCACTCCATGTTATTCCCCTCCACCACTCCATGTTATTCCCCTCCACCACTCCATGTTATTCCCCTCCACCACTCCATGTTATTCCCCTCCACCACTCCATGTTATTCCCCTCCACCACTCCATGTTATTCCCCTCCACCACTCCATGTTATTCCCCTCCACCACTCCATGTTATTCCCCTCCACCACTCCATGTTATTCCCCTCCACAACTCCATGTTATTCCCCTCCACCACTCCATGTTATTCCCCTCCACCACTCCATGTTATTCCCCTCCACCACTCCATGTTATTCCCCTCCACCACTCCATGTTATTCCCCTCCACCACTCCATGTTATTCCCCTCCACCAATCCATGTTATTCCCCTCCACCACTCCATGTTATTCCCCTCCACCACTCCATGTTATTCCCCGTGCTCTTCCCCCCATCCTATCCCTCTCCTCTCTTTGTCTTCCGCTTCATCTCTCTCCCTCCCCTCACCGCTCCCCTTTCCCCCCCCTCCCCCCACGTCCTCGCCCCTCCTTCCCTTTCCCTTCCCTCCCTCCATCTCTCTCCCCCACTGCTGCTCACCCCACTGCTGCTCACCCCGCAGGTCATCTGGTCCACCTTCTCCTCCATCACCACGAAGCTTCCAGGAACCATCTCAGCAGTAGGCGGGCTACTGTTCATTGTAGCCATGCGGAGGGGGCTGGTGGGGCAGCCGTGGCGGGACAGGTGGCAGCTGCTGAGTGGCTGGACTGCCACGCTGCTCTTCATGGTCATGCCCGTGGCTCAGCTGCAGGTGAGAGTTGACATTTGAGTCCGCGTGTGATGAATCTTCCCTGTAAAACCGTTTTTATTTTACAATGAATCGGTTATTTTAGCCGAATGCTGAGTGGCCACGTGTATAAAGTGAATTTTTGAGACGTCTCAAAAATTCACTTTATACACGGGACCGCCACGCTGCTCTGGTCTTCATGGTCACACCCGTCGCCCAGCTGCAGGTGCGCCCACCCACCCCTCTGCACCACTTTGTACCACTGACTGATGCATGCATGAATTTTGAGACATCTCGATAGGCCTCTGCACCGCTTTGTATCACTCACTTATGCATGCATGAAGCGTTTTGTGAGCAGCCTGAAGATACTCGCTTTGTATCACTCACAATGCCACATCGCTCCATCCATCTGTCCTTCCTGCCTACCTTCCTGCCTTGCCTTCTCCCTTCTCGCCTCATCACTCGTCACCCTGTCTCCCCATCTTCTCTCAACCCGCTGTAGCGTTTCTCTGCCCTCCATCCCTTCTCCCCTCATCTTCTCCCCTCATCTTCTCCCCTCATCTTCTCCCCTCATCTTCTCCCCTCATCTTCTCCCCTCATCTTCTCCCCTCATCTTCTCCCCTCATCTTCTCCCCTCATCTTCTTTCTCATCTTCCCTCTCGTCACCTTTCCTCACTCTGTCCCCGTCCTCTCCTCAACTTCGCTTATCCCTCCACCTACCCCACTTTCCCTTCCCGCTCCCCCCTCCCCCCAGATCTGCTTCGCCTGCCCGGACTACCTGGCGGGCATGTCACCCCCTCTCCTCCCTCTCCCTACTCCTCTTTCCCTCCCAGCTTCCCTTACCATGCCGTGACCTCCCCATCTCCCCAATCCCCCAGGTGTGCTTCACACGCCCCGACCAGCTAGCGGGCATGTCAGCACTCTCCTCGCTGCTGGGCATCGTGGGCAACGGCCTCATGGTGCCGCGAGCTCTCTTCACACGCGACTTCATCTGGTGAGAGAGAGTCACTTATACCGCCCCCCTCGTGCTGCCCCCCTCGTGCTGCCCCCCTCGTGCTGCCCCCCTCGTGCTGCCCCCCTCGTGCTGCCCCCCTCGTGCTGCCCCTCATTGTGACCCTTCCACTGCTGCTGGGCATCGTGGGCAATGGCCTCATGGTGCCGCGACGCGAGCACTCTTCACGCGCGACTTCATCTGGTGAGAGCCCCTTGCTCCCCACTCACACCTCTTACTGCCCCTTGCTCCCCACTCACACCTCTTGCTGCCCCTTGCTCTCGTTTCAAAGTCACACCATAGTGGGCAACGACCTCGTAGTGCCACGGGCTGTCTTCACGCGTGATATCATGTGCTGAGAACCCCTTTCTCTCCTTCGTCCCATCCCCGTCATGCCCGTGTCACACTCGGGGGATGCTTGAGGGTTGGGGTTCTCAGTGTCTCATGTCACGGGATGTGCATGGGGGTCACTACGGGCCTCACTGTCTCATGTCATGGGATGTGCATGGGGGTCACCAGGGGACTCACTGTCTCATGTCATGGGATGTGCTGCCTTCAAACTTCCTTTCCCCCCCATACCTCCGTCCCCCCTCCTCTCCTTCCAAATCCCCCTCTTTCTACATTCCCTCCTTTCTCAACCTGTTCTGTGGAAAAACCAAGTAAGTATATGGTTTCTTTCGTGAAGTACGGTCCGTCCCTCACTTTCGTCCTGTCCCTATCACACGTGCATCAGGTTCTTGGGTTGTTCCTGGGGCTGCATTCTCATGGGCTGGGGTGTTCTCCTCGCCATGGCTCTCCACGGCTTCTACCCGCCTCGCCTTTTCATGGCTGTCTCACTTGCGCTTATCGGCTATCTTGCTGTTGTGTTCAAGTTTGATGCTGATGCACATGGCTGCACTCCTTTGCTTGGTTCTATTTCTGGGTTGCTAAAGGGTGCAGTTTGAGTTTTCTTTTGTAAGGGAATAGTTGATGCTGCTGCAATAATGTTAAATTTTTGTCCTGGTGTAGGGCATGTAGAGTTGCATTTAGCACTACTACGTTGGGGCAGTTTGGAAGTGTAATATGTACAGTAAGTTAACTTGATTGGCAAGTTTGCCATCGCGGCTGAAACAGCTGTTACGTGTGACCAGATTCTCGCCAAGTTCTCGCGATCCTTTGAGAGTTTTCTAGCTTCGTCTTGCAACCCAGCATCCCAGCATCCCCCAGCTCGATTTTCTGAACAAATCAAAGAGAAATCTGCTTCTAGCGAATTCTAGGCTGTCCACCCAAGTCGGCCTAGACCAGCCGTTCCTCCTTCCAAGCCGCGTGCGCTTCTTCGATTCCGCGCAACGAGATGCATTCCCACTCCAGTATTTATGTCTGCTCTTCGACTCTCAGAAACGTCACTTGAAACCTGCTATAACTTCCAAGCACACCAACAACGTTCCTGGATCTTTGAAGCTAGTGTGGCCGCCACCATTACAATACGACAGCCTCGCGACTCATCTTCTCATTCGTCAGTTCAAATAGGCAGGCATGGCGCTTACGCTTCTTTCTTCCAACCCGTTTGTGGACTCGATCTCCCCGTTAGGCGACTTCAACGATATGACCTCCATGCTAAATCATTTTCCAAGTAATCTCCTTGGTGACTCTCAGTCTCTCCTCAGTCACCCGCTCCACAGTGATCCGCTTCGCAATCTCATTTCCATCGGTGGTAACCCGGTAACCCAAGCTCTTCGGGAGCTCGACGACGACTCGCTCTGCGTTCCCAAGGTTGTCGTTGAAGAGTTTCCAGACGCGTTTAAATTCATCGCGACTGTTCCGGGCCTCGAGAAGAAGGATATGCAAGTGCAGGTGCGGGGGAAGGATGTTCTGACGATCACCGGCAAGCGGACCAGAGAGGAGAGAGACGGCGACGACAGCAACCGTGTTGTGAAGGAGTTCAGCAGCTTCAAGCGAAGCTTCCGATTGCCACGTGGCGTGTCTACGAAAAAGGTTACAGCCGTGGCGCGGAATGGCGTGCTCACCGTGACGGTTCCCAAAAAAACGTCTTCCAAGGTAACGTCTGGTCGTAGCGTTGCGCATCGGAACGCGAACGCAGTAGCGAAGGATAACATTTCGAAGCAAGGCGGGTTGAACGGCGAGCAACGAGTGAGCAAGAGAAGGAAAGTCGTTCATTTCGCCCCTGGTTGCTGAACCTGCTGTATTGACTTTCCCAGCAAGAACTTCGTGGTGCATCTCTTGTCCACCTAGGGGCTGACCTGTCATGTGAGGGTGTCCAGTCCCCACGTAGTAGCACGGCCCAGTATTCACATGTAATTATGCCATGTAAATATTTTCATACCAGTGATGTTACTTCCTCGTTGATATGACAACAGTACCGGCGTTCGTTGCAATAGTAACATGCCGCTAACATCCATACAGTACAAGCTAAAAGTAAAAAACTTCTGTGTGACGAGAGACGGAAACCGTTAGGGCAAGAGGGGTGCGTGGTGGGGTGGGTGAGGATGTGGCAGAGGTCGAGTGAGATGTCTCGAGACAGGCACCATGGAAGGGTGATGTCTCACGTCACGTGGGTGGCAGGGGCGAGTGGTCTGTAAAGATGCAGAGGAGGAAGGAGGCCGACGGCCTTTCTGAGGCGCCTCAGGAATCGCGTCATCTCATGATTTTATCTTATGAGTGGTGGGTGAATATGCGGGGGGGTTGACACGTGTCATCTCAGAGGTGGTGGGTGAAGACGCGGGGAGGTTGACCCGTGTCATTTTATGAGTGGTGGGTGAAGATGCGCAGGTGGTTGTCGGCCCCCCCACTGACCACAGCGTTGCCGCCCTGCCACCAGTCCGCACACAGCACCTGCCCAGCCCAGAAGTGTGTGTGATTCACTGTGTCAAGTCAAGGCACAAAAGCATGATGGCATCATGGCATGATGGCATGATGGCATGAAGGAATAAAAGGCTTTGACCGTACCTTATCAGAGTGGGCTTTGACCGTGTGAAGTGGCACCTGCACGTTTGAATTGAGGCATGGGGGTGAGAGACATGCTTGGCTAGAACCAGGATGGCAGCATGTGAGTTTGAGGCTCATGGCTCTCACGCGAGCCTGTGCACTTGCATTGCACTTTGAGAAACACAACTGGCACGAAATGGTTTAGACTAGAGGAGAGTATGGTGACTCATGCACGACACGAGCATTGGCAATGGCGCAGACGATACACTTGACTGAGTTGTGGAATTGTGCACCGCCTTTGAAGCGCTTTAAGAAATTTTGAAAAGTTGTTGAAAAACGTTCAAGTTGCGTTTAATAACATGTGACTGGATGGCAGAGAGTGCACACGCAGCCGAAGGGGTCAAGATATTTCATGGGGAATGGGGAGCATGGGGGAGGGGGGACGAGGGGGCAGGGGAGTGGTGACATACAGTGGAGCGAAGGTCCCAGAATGTGAGCGAGCCATCGTAGGAATGGGGCCGGGGGAACATGGGGGTGAGGGGCTCGGGGAAAGTGGGGTCGGGCACTTACAGTGGAGCGAAGATCCCAAATTTTGAGTGAGCCGTCGTAGGAGGAGGAGAGAAGATGCAATGGGTTGGATGGGGACCTGGAGAGGAGTGTGACAAGGGAGAATCATGGCGAACAAGGGAGAATCATGGCGAACAAGGACAGAAACAGGTGTGGCAGGCATGGGAAACCAAGGGAATGAAACCAGTGTAGGTATGAGCTTTTTGTAACCAGGACAACCCTCTAGCAACCAATGGTTTTGTGGAATTGGATAATATTCAACTGCCATGTCAACTGCAATGTCAGCAACTTCAGACATTCTCTAGCAAAGCAAGGAAGAACTTCACCCACGTTGCTGCTCGCTAAAAGGGATGCTTCTGCAAACCTCCGTTTCAAGGAATAGCCAAAAGAACCAGCAGCAGCAGTAGTGAGCCTAAATAAAGAAGAATGTATGCACACGGTAATACTGCATACACACACTACGAGTGATCTTGTCCCGACGTTACCATGCGAGGGAGGAGATCCAATCTGTGTGACCCAGCAGCTGGATCGACGGGGAGAGCACGGCTGGAGAGGGGGGTTTGAAACGGGAGGAGGGCAAAGGGATGAGGGATGAGGGATGAGGGATGAGGGATGAGGGATGAGGGATGAGGGATGAGGGATGAGGGATGAGGGATGAGGGATGAGGGATGAGGGATGAGGGATGAGGGATGAGGGATGAGGGATGAGGGATGAGGGATGAGGGATGAGGGATGAGGGATGAGGGATGAGGGATGAGGGATGAGGGATGAGGGATGAGGGATGAGGGATGAGGGATGAGGGATGAGGGATGAGGGATGAGGGATGAGGGATGAGGGATGAGGGATGAGTGATGAGTGATGAGTGATGAGTGATGGGGGATGGGGGATGAGGGATGAGGGATGAGGGATGAGGGATGAGGGATGAGGGATGAGGGATGAGGGATGAGGGATGAGGGATGAGGGATGAGGGATGAGGGATGAGGGATGAGGGATGAGGGATGAGGGATGAGGGATGAGTGATGGGTGATGGGGGATGGGGGATGGGGGATGAGGGATGAGGGATGAGGGATGAGGGATGAGGGATGAGGGATGAGGGATGAGGGATGAGGGATGAGGGATGAGGGATGAGGGATGAGGGATGAGGGATGAGGGATGAGGGATGAGGGATGAGGGATGAGGGAGGTGGGAGGTGGGAGGTGGGAGGTGGGAGGTGGGAGGTGGGAGGTGGGAGGTGGGAGGTGGGAGGTGGGAGGTGGGAGGTGGGGGGAGGGAGAGGTGCTGTAGGAAGGGTCACTTGCATAACAGTTGCTCACAAGAGTGGTGCGTGGGGAGGGGGAATAATGGAGGGCATGGTGAAGACGAGGGGTATGTGCTCCGAAGATGGAAACACAAGAGTGAGGATGTGAACAGATAAGAACGAGATTCTTCCTTCATATGACACCCACACTTCACCCTTGCCCAACCCTCACACCCTTGCCCAACCGTCACACCCTTACCCCACACTCACACGTGGCAGCGCGCATGTCCCACAGCAGGATGGTCGGGTGCGCACCCCCCACTGCCACCAGTGATGCCATTCCGCCTCCCCCTGCTGCCACCGCCAGCAGCGGATGGGCAGTGGTCTGCAGTAGGGAGAGGAGGGGGGCGAATGAGGGCACACGTGCTTCACTTACAACTCACGAGTGCATTGACGGCGCCAACACAGCCCTCGCATTGCACTTTCCCCCCACTCCACCTGCCCTTGATGCCACCGCCAGCAGCGGATGGGTGCTCCTCTCAAGTGCGAGGGAGGGGGGACATGAGGGAGAGCAGAGGGGAGAGGGGAGAGGGGAGAGGGGAGAGGGGAGAGGGGAGAGGGAGGAACGGCGCCCTACCTGACCACGCTATGCACGCACCCAGCACACTACCTACCCGAACAGACACAGCAGCAGCAGCGTCCACGTCCCACGAGCGCAGAGAGTGGTCCCACGAGACTGAGAAGAGCGAGGAGCCCTGAGCCGGCCATGCCACGCCCGCCACACACTGCGTGTGCGCGTCTAACGAGAGATCTGGGGCGAGCTGGCGGGGTGAGGATGGGAGAAACGGGGGAGAGAATTGCAGGGCGAGGAGAAGGGGAATTGCAGTGAGGTCTGTGCAAGAATCGCCAGGCGTGGGTTTAGGGTGTGTGTGCAGCTCCAAAGAGAGGACCCGGGGCGAGCTGACGGGGTGTGGGAGCGAGGGGAGTGAGGGAGATAGGAACGTGGATTTACGGTCTGCCATCGTGTTACAGTGCATTGATATCATCATCGTGTTACAGTGCATTGATATCATCATCGTGTTACAGTGCATTGATATCATCATCGTGTTACAGTGCATTGATATCATCATCGTGTTACAGTGCATTGATATCATCATCGTGTTACAGTGCATTGATATCATCATCGTGTTACAGTGCATTGATATCATCATCGTGTTACAGTGCATTGATATCATCATCGTGGCGTGCAGCAATATTATGTGCCATCCACGCCAGGTCTGCCACCCACTGTACGTGCAGCTCTCTAGAGAGGAGACCTGGGGTGAGGAGGCACAATCAAGTACCAATGCAGCAACACGTCATGCCATGCCATGGCATGCTGCAGCCAGCATGCATGAAAACAGGCTTCCTTACAATGACTCGTGCAGCACACAGTATGCAGCCTGCAGCAACCAGCAGCCAGCAACCAGCAGCCAGCAGCCAGCAGCCAGCAGCCGGCAGCCGGCAGCCAGCACTGGAGAATTGAGCATTGAGAATTAAGAACGGAAGGCAAGGCGCATGTGAGTGCGTTGCTTACCTCCACGCCCTCTGCCTCAACTGCCCCGGCAGCCGTCCTCGCTCGCTTCCGCGCTTGCCCCGCTCCCTCTGCTCCTCCCACTTCTCCCCCCTCCTCCCCCTCTCCTCCCGCCTTCTCCCCCATTCCCCCACTCCCATCACCACCAGCACTTCCGTCCACTCCCCCTCCCCGCCTTCCTGCGTTGGCTCCCAGCCCGGGCAGCGCCCAGAGCTTGATGGTGCTGTCCCAGCCGCATGATGCCAGCTGTGGTGGAGGGAGAGGGCAGGGCAGAGAGAGGGGAGGGGAGAGGGGTGCACGGGGAGAGAGTGGGATTAGAAAGGTCTGATAGAGGAGGCAGCGACCAGATCTTGTTGGTGCTGTCCCAGCCGCATTATGCAACAGACAGACGAGGGAGACGTGAGGGCAGAGAGGAGGGCAGGTAGAGGAGAAGCAAGAGTGTGAGACGAGGGAGGGGAGGCGAGAGGAGGCAACAGGGTTCTATAGATGGTGAAAAAAAAAGAGTTTGAGCCGCAGCCTTTTAAAAGTGAATTCGTAAACCTCCACTATGAGGAAGGTTGTATAACCAGAAAAGAGTTGGTAAGCCAAACACATTAGGTCGTGTGCGAACTTGTTTCAACACTACCAACTAAGGTCCCGTTTTTTGGGAATCTTATACGCAACGGCATCTCCACGCGGTTCTTCTCTAGCTAGGTTCCAACCGTTTGGAGGCGCCAAACTGCAGGTATGCGACTGTGCTAGAAGAGTGATATCTCAGCTGTCACGCGCCACCCCTGCATTGCTCTCCGTCAAGTCAAGACAGAATTCGTCGACGGAGTTGTATCTCCTCGACGAGAGATGGGAGAGCATGGAAAGAGGACCTGTGATAATTGCCAGCTCGAGGGGGGACCACATCCCGTCCCTCCCAGCTGGCGAAGATCATTTCGGGCGGGCTGAGGGGTTGGCTCCCGCCCCTCGCGTGCTGCGCCACGCGAGGGGCGGGAGCCAACCCCCCGGCCCGTCCGAAATGACACCCGCCAGCTAGGAGTGACGGGATGCAGTCCCCCTCTCAAAGTGACTCTCGTCGAGGAGATACAACTCCATCGACGAATTCCGTCTTGACTCGACGGAGAGTGATGCAGGGGTGGCGCGTGACGGCTGAGATATCATTCTTCTAGCACGGTCGCATACCTGCGGTTCGGCGTCTCCAAACAGTTGGAACCTAGCTAGAGAAGAACCGCGTGAAGATGCCGTTGCGTATAAGATTAAAAACAAAAGGGGGGGGCATACTCGTTTTAGCAAAGGTTTCCATCACTACCACATGGAGCCGCATAGCATATTATATGCTTGTGTGAAGGCATCTGTGACATACCTTATTGACATGCCTTATTGACATGCCTTATTGACATGCCTTATTGACATGCCTTATTGACATGCCTTATTGACATGCCTTATTGACATGCCTTATTGACATGCCTTATTGACATGCCTTATTGACATGCCTTATTGACATGCCTTATTGACATGCCTTATTGACATGCCTTATTGACATGCCTTATTGACATGCCTTATTGACATGCCTTATTGACATGCCTTATTGACATGCCTTATTGACATGCCTTATTGACATGCCTTATTGACATGCCTTATTGACATGCCTTATTGACATGCCTTATTGACATGCCTTATTGACATGCCTTATTGACATGCCTTATTGACATGCCTTATTGACATGCCTTATTGACATGCCTTATTGACATGCCTTATTGACATGCCTTATTGACATGCCTTATTGACATGCCTTATTGACATGCCTTATTGACATGCCTTATTGACATGCCTTATTGACATGCCTTATTGACATGCCTTATTGACATGCCTTATTGACAAACCTTCTGCTCGCACACTGCATGCATGGCCCCAGAGTGGTCCCTCCTCACCGCCTCTGCCATGCGGGCATGGCAGCACATGAAGCGCCAGCCACACGTGTACGTGCGTACATCGATGCGCACAAAAAGCACCATACCTTATGCTTTCGTCCAAGCATGTGCCTCTCCTACCTTATTAGACCGTGCGTTCACAGCAGCGCACTGCACGGCAGCAGTGTGGCCTCGCATCACTGCCACCACCGACGCTCGCAGCGAGGGAGGGGCAGTGGATGCCTGGGTGCTGTCTCCCGCTAGCTGGCAGCGATGGAGGAAGAAAGAGTGGAGAGGGAGTGGGAGAGGCGGGGGGACGAGGAGAGACAGACAGGGAGCAGGGCTGTTGCGGTGAGAGCAGGTGGGCCGGTGAGAGAGGAGGGCTGTTGCTGCTTTCAATCGGCTAAAAACGGCGTGCAAGCAGGGAGAAGGGCGTGCAAGCAGGGAGAGGGGCGTGTGGGGAAAGCAGCAACAGCAGCATCGAGAATCACAGGCTTCATTTCCTCCATGATACGAGGCACTCACATTTGAGAAATGCCATTTGAATGGTACAGCAGCGGGCGCACGAGAAGGAGGCACCCACCTGCCAGAGGCGCAGCGTGCGGTCCTTGGACGCTGTCACAAAGGCGCTGCCTGCTGCCATGGGTTGAGAGAGGGGGAGAAGAGGAGGGAGGTCGCATGCACGCGGGTAGTGCACATGTGAAGCTAGGAATGGTTTAGTTTAAATGTGCAGCGTGCAGTTCTTTGAAGCCGATACAAAGGCACTGCCTGCTGCAGTGGGTTTACACGGAAAAGGGGGGAGGCAGGAGAGGGGTTGAGGAGAGGAGAGGAGAGGACGAGGGGAGAGATATAAGTGGTTTATAGGAAGTAATAGAGAACTGAGATGTTGTTGAAAGATTGGTGCTGCCAGGTTTAGTGGGAATATACGTGTATAGCGTATATACGCGTATCGTAAATACGCGCGCGCATATACGCTATACGCTGGAGGGTCGGCTTTGGGAATCCGCTTTTTTGGGCAGGAAAAAAAATTCCCGGGCAGGGTGAAAAAAACCCGGGGGGGTGTATGGGGGTGGGGTTTGGGGCCTGAAGTTTCAAAGTACTTTTTTTTTTCCACATTATACATATACCACGGCCTACACATGACATTTCCCTTCTCCCTAAGACTCTTACCACCACCATCACTACGCAACTACTACTCCTTAAGGCTAGCCACCCACACCAAGCCACATTTGCCCCCTCTAATTATCGAACTTGTCTTCAAAGATGTCGTCCTTGACTTCCTCCTCATCCTCTCCCTTCATCTCGTCTTCGAGCCCATTGTATCTCGCCGGGATTGGAGGCTCCGCCCCAATCCCGGGCACCACATGTGGCAAGACATCGGCGCGCGTGTGCCATCTGCACACAACATTCCAGTTGTGCGCAACATCGACCAAGTCCTTGCACTTGGCGGATCCGAGCCTGTTTCGGCGTGCGGTGTGGACGGAATCCCACGTTGACCATCCACGCTCACAAGGTGAGGCTGACACGGGCTGAGACAGCACCCGTACGACGAGCCCTGCCAGCTCGGGGGCATAAGTCCCATTCCACTACCACCACTTCACCATGCTGTACTTTCCCTCTTTCACCAGCTTCCTCTGTGCCATGGCTTCCGGCATCCCAAAAGAACCCTTCATGTCAACGAACGCCCTGTGCCCGTCCCCCAGAGCAAGCAAGGTGTCACACGCGTCATCCCCCCCATCCCGGCGGCTCGCGATGAACTCGGCATGCTGGCTGATGAATGCCTTGAAGACTTTCGTGCACTTGGAATCAGTGCAGAAAATGTCTTCCTCCTGATTGGCGGGGTTTAGGATGCGGCCAGCGACATGCATGGCGCATGCGAGGCTGCTGTCCCAACAATTTTTTAGGATGCGACGGATCTGGGCCTTATCGGCGCTGCTCAACTACTCCGCATCCTCATCAAACAAATCCCCCACGTCCTCCGTCAACTGGAGCATCACATCGCACATCTTCCCCATCATCCCCACAGCATGCCCGTCCGTCTGCCTCGTCGCCTTGTAGGGCAGTTTCAGCAGGGCAGTGAAAAATTCGGCCGTTTTCCACCAGACGGCATCAAAGACCAGCGCACTAAACTTCTCGCATGTTGGCTTCCTCTCCCCTACCGCCCACTCCTTCCACAGGTCGCTCAGCACAATGCTGGTAAGAGTGGCACGCATCGCACATAGCTGGGATATGGCTCGCACGTTCTGCGCTTGCTGCGTTCCAAAACGGGTTCCAGCCGGCTTCAGCGCCTGCAGAACCGTCCCCTCCACCAAGTCCGGCGTCCGCAGGTACCCTCGGGTCCAATGGTGGTTGCGAAAGAAGCTTGAAATCTCCCCTCCCTTGTCCACAACCCTCTTAGCCCATCCCATCTTCCCCACATCTTCCATGAGAAGATCCAATACGTGAGTGGCGCATGGCACCTCCTGAATGTGCGACCACTCCCGTATAAGTTCCTTCACCGCCACCACATAGTTCGTCCCCTCATCCATGCAGAAAGCAACAACATTCTCTGGACCCACTTCCTCCACCACGGGCCTAAGAATCCCCGCCGTAACCTCCTGTTTTCTTCTCCATGAGGCACTCAACACAGTCGGTGAAGACGACGACGAAATCATTCACGAGAAGCAGATTGGCCTGCGGCCTACCGTTGCGATCCGTCATCATGTCGGACGAAACCGTCACGCCCGTCCTCTTCCAGCTCGCCTTAATGCCCACCAAACCCGCCTGGATTCCGTTGCGACACGCGACAAGACCAGCACCGCCAACGTATTTCCTCTTGGGAGGGACGTATTCGCCATTGGGGCGCGAGACGAGGTTCAATGCATTGACCATCAGAGGATGGTTGATGTGGCGCTCGGGGATGTGGAGGGCGGCTACGCAAGCGCAAGTGACTCGTCTGCTTCTCTCTTTCTCTCAGCCGCATCCCCCTCCAGGTAATCGGTGATGCACGCCCGCTTCCCACCGTTGGCCTTCACCGCAGCAACCGCATCAGCTGCAGCCTGCCTCTTTTCTTCGGCCGCGGCAGCCGCCGCCTTGTAATTCGCGCGCATAGCCTGACGCACATCTTGCGGCGCATCCTTGCAAAGCGCCTCTTCACAGCGTTTCATCCCGTTCCACGACATGAAGTGTTGCGTGCATCGGATGGCAGCACCAGCGAAGATGTTGTTGCAGAACTTGCACTCGTAATGCTGAGCTTTTCCCTCGACCCTCTTGATGATGTGGAAGTGCTTGAAGACGGCATGGTCGACGTCGAGGAGATACTCCCGTGCCGCGGTTAGAAGAGTTTGCGAACTGCCAACGGTGTTAGCTGACTGTGGCGTTGGAGGAGAGGTAGCAGTAGTCGACATTGGCACTACGAACTAGGGCCCAGTGCTCTGTTGGTAGCGGGAGAAGAACTAATGAATTGGATGTTGGGGGTGTGGGTGTTTAATAGCGAGTTAATTGTGGGAGTGGGAGGATGGGCAAGAGAAGTTGGAGAGTTGTTGGATGCGAAGGGTTTGAATGCGGTACTGAGTGTGGACACCAAAATGTGAGAGAATGTGCAGACGCGACTCGAGAAACGTGACTTTCCATTTGCAACACTAACTTTCAACCCACGTCCACGCTAGCACACAGCACGGACGTGCAATCTGACTCCGCCAATGTCTTCGTCGTGCAATTCCGAAGCGAACCGTATCGGTTGAAATTTTCCGGCCGGGCTGCCCCCAAAAAAATTGGCGAGCGTATGGCGTATTTGCTATTGTATAGCGTTTTGCGTGTACACGCTAGCGTGTATACGCTAAACGCAAACAGTTTTTAGCGTATATTCCCAATAAGCTGCTGGGCAAGGTGGAGCGGATGAGGCTGAGAAGATAGTGTGGTGAGGTATTTGAAGGGGAAAAGAAGGCTGGCCATGGCAGTATGACGGCAGCACATGAATTGTATAACAACAAAGAAAAACAAGCGACACCTATGCCATCCAGTTGTTCTTTCTATACATGGCAGTCTGCAGTAGGTATGAGCAGCGGCCGAACACGAACAATATTCGGTTTGCCGCAAACACTTCTCGAAAAAAGGGTGTTCGCCTCTTTGCCTCCAGGGGCAAGCGAATACTCTCCTGTTCGCGAAGAGCAGGAACATGTTTGTGCTCACCTGTCACAACCCCTCATTATAGTCACATTAACCAAAAAATAGTTGAAGAACCCTACGATTTCAACAAGGGTTCATGGATTCCTGACAGCTTCTACTCCAAAGGGCACTTTAAAGACTTTTGCGGAATCCTATCTATGCTCTAAATATGCACCTCTAAAAACGCATCCCTAAATGTGTATAGTAAGCTGGTGCTTAGAGTTGCTGGTGCTAGTAAGGGCTGTGAAAGAGAGGGTCGACTAAGTTTCAGGTCAAAAATGAGCCCATACTGTATGTCCGGCGACCCAAACATGTTGGTCGCGGGACATTTGCGGGCGAAGACTTCTGTGTTCGCCCGCAGCTGCATACGAGCACGAACATGTTCGTGTTCGCCACGGCTCGGCCAGCTGAAGCAAACCGAAAACGTACATGTTCGCCGCGAACAGAAAAGGCCAGAATAAAACTAACTGTTCCGTTTGCCACGAACATGTTCGTGGAGAACCGAACAAGTGCTCGCCCCCCTGCTCAAGCCTACATCACTCCTGTGACTAACATGTAGGTGCAGAGCCTGCACTCACATCACTCACGTGACTAACATGTAGGTGCAGAGCCTGCACTCACATCACTCATGTGACTAACACCATGCATGCACAGAACTGGCAGCATGCACATAACTGGCAGTAGGGATGAGCAAGTGGCGAACACGAACGTGTTCGTGTTCGCCCCTGCACGAACACAGGTGTTCGCCGAACCGAACAGTGTTCGGTTCGGCGAACACTTTCGGCAAAAACAGATGTTCGGTGTTCGCCTGTGAAGACGTGTTCGGGCAAACCTCGAACACGCTCGTGTTCGACGCGGGGCAAATAACGAACACGAACGTGTTCAGGCGAACCTCGAACACATTTGTCACGAACACTTTAAGCTAAAAACAAAACCTGTTCAGTGTTCGAGGAGAACCGAACAGGTGTTCGTTTTTTTGCTCATCCCTAACTGGCAGCATGCACATAACTGGCAGCATGCACATAACTGGCAGCATGCACATAACTGGCAGCATGAACAGAACTGGCAGCATGCACATAACTGGCAGCATGCACATAACTGGCAGCATGAACAGAACTGGCAGCATGCACATAACTGGCAGCATGCACAGAACTGGCAGCATGCACATAACTGGCAGCATGAACAGAACTGGCAGCATGCACATAACTGGCAGCATGCACAGAACTGGCAGCATGCAAAAAACTGGCAGCATGCACACAACCGGCGGCATGGCGTGGCATGGTGTGGCACCTGGCAGGGCGGCGATGTGAGTGACTGCATCAGAGTGTGCAGCTGCCACCTGAATGCACCTCGCACTGCTGCTCGCCCCATCAGCAGCATCCGCAGAGGCATCAGCTGCAGTGGCAGCAGCAGTGGAGGTAGGAGGGACGGAGAAGAGGCTGCAGGTGACAGAGACAGGCAGAGGGGAGAGAGCGAAGGGAGAGAGAAGAAAAGGTGAGGGAGGGAGGAGGAGGGAGATGGAGGGAGATGGAGGGAGAAGGAGGGAGAAGGAGGGAGAAGGAGGGAGAAGGAGGGAGAAGGAGGGAGAAGGAGGGAGAAGGAGGGAGAAGGAGGGAGAAGGAGGGAGAAGGAGGGAGAAGGAGGGAGAAGGAGGGAGAAGGAGGGAGAAGGAGGGAGAAGGAGGGAGAAGGAGGGAGAAGGAGGGAGAAGGAGGGAGAAGGAGGGAGAAGGAGGGAGAAGGAGGGAGAAGGAGGGAGAAGGAGGGAGAAGGAGGGAGAAGGAGGGAGAAGGAGGGAGAAGGAGGGAGAAGGAGGGAGAAGGAGGGAGAAGGAGGGAGAAGGAGGGAGAAGGAGGGAGAAGGAGGGAGAAGGAGGGAGAAGGAGGGAGAAGGAGGGAGAAGGAGGGAGAAGGAGGGAGAAGGAGGGAGAAGGAGGGAGAAGGAGGAGGGAGATGGAGGGAGAAGGAGGAGAAGGAGGGAGAAGGAGGGAGAAGGAGGGAGAAGGAGGGAGAAGGAGGGAGAAGGAGGGAGAAGGAGGGAGAAGGAGGGAGAAGGAGGGAGAAGGAGGGAGAAGGAGGGAGAAGGAGGGAGAAGGAGGGAGAAGGAGGGAGAAGGAGGGAGAAGGAGGGAGAAGGAGGGAGAAGGAGGGAGAAGGAGGGAGAAGGAGGGAGAAGGAGGGAGAAGGAGGGAGAAGGAGGGAGAAGGAGGGAGAAGGAGGGAGAAGGAGGGAGATGGTGCAGAGAACATGAAATGAAAGAGCAGTGTCCATCCAAACAAGGCTCTCGAATGCGTGTTCTCACTCTCTCACTTGCTGCCCCTTAACAGTGTCATGCTGCACATCCCCCCAGCAGACAGCTGTGCCACACACACACACAGACACACACACACACACAAGGTGGAAAAAAACGGTTGCGATAAAAAACGATTGAAAAGAACGATCGTTTTTTACGGTCAGGTTTGGGAAAAAAAACGTCGTTTTTTTGTTAGACCCAAATTTTATTTCAGAAAAAAAAAAAAAAAAATCCTAAACAGATCCACAGCCACCAACACTCTCTGGCAAGTCAGTGCTGATGAGTTTCCTAGCCTGATTGCAATTAAAAGGTCGTTACTGCTCATCGCTCTCTATCTAACACCATCAAAGTCACTAATGTCCCATGCGTTGGACCCCCCGCCCTCCTCCTCCTCCTCCTCCTCCTCCTCCTCCTCCTCCTCCTCCTCCTCCTCCTCCTCCTCCTCCTCCTCCTCCTCCTCCTCCTCCTCCCTCGTCAGCCGAACGCTTCCTCTTAAGCTTCTTGGTCGCCTTTCCCTTGATTCCCTTTGTCACCTCTTTCTTCTTCCTCTTCCGGATGCTGCCAAGAGCTTCCCAGTCAATCACACAATCGACATCACCTTCTTCCTCTTGCACGATGCAAAATATTTGGCACGTCGCGACCAACCCTATAAGGACAAGTTGACGCGCGCGACAAATTATTGCGGCTCGAGCGGTAAATTTGGGTGTACAACGTGGCAGGTCGCCTCGCACACCCAGACACTCAGCTTCGCGCATGCACGAATTTAGTTTCTGAAAGGCACGAATTGGCATCGTTGCTCTGCGAAATCAGCGAGAGCAGGGAAGCGAAGTGTTGGCATTGAGCGAAACCCAATTTCCGAACATCGCGCCTCGAACGTGGGTCTCATCTGAATCTGGCAATTGGTGCACGTGCAGATGGCTTGAAATTGTGTGCTGTGTTGGGCCCACGACTGCTGCGTGTTGGGTGGATTTGGCCGCTGGGTGGATTCACTAATCCTGCATGCCAGCAACCCTAACCCCACGAATTCTCCCGCTACCTCATCCGCGTTTGTTGCTTGCGTACACAGAGGAGTCCTAAACCGTGAATCGTGAATTATAAGGAAAGCATCGTTACAGTAAGTACTGGTACTAAAAAAACGATCGTTTTTTTGCACCAAAAAAATAAACACAAATTCATCGTTTTATTCCGTTTTATACGATCGTATGGTACGATATCGAAAAAAACGACAAAAAAAATGAAAAAAACGTCGTTTTTTTGCACCCTGCACACACACACACACACACACACACACACACACACACAACACACACACACACACACACACACACGTGCGTGCGCTGCTGCCACGTCATGCCGTCCCATGCCGTGCCATGCTGTGCCATGCCGTCCCATGCCGTCCCATGCCGTTCCATGCCGTGCCCTGCCGTGCCATGCCGTGCCCTGCCATGCCCTGCCGTGCCATGCCGTGCCATGTCAAGCCTACCTGTGTGCCACCCCTCCCTCACTCACCGCACGTGCGAGTCATAGGAGCCGGTCACGATCGCACTGCAGCATGAAACCGTTCACAGGACGGTGGGGGAAGAGAGGGGAAGACGGGGAGGAGAGGGGAAGAGAGGGGAAGAGAGGGGAAGACGGGGAGGAGAGGGGAAGACAGGGGAAGACAGGGGAAGACAGGGGAAGAGAGGGGAAGAGAGGGGAAGAGAGGGGAAGAGAGGGAAAGAGAGGGGAAGAGAGGGGAAGAGAGGGGAAGAGAGGGGAAGAGAGGGGAAGAGAGGGGAAGAGAGGGGAAGAGAGGGGACGTAGTGAGTGGCCCATAGAGGGTGCACGGGGGGAGAGAAGCACACGCGTTACCACAGCACTCAAATCTCACTGGTAAAAAGCACGTGGCAGCTCATGAGGCAAAAAGTGAAACAAATGCTGGCAGGGAATTCACCTGAGGTGAGCAGCAGAGACAGCAGAGACCCAGTCGTCATGTGGAGCAGAGTGGGAAGCAGAGGGCGGGCGCACTGCTAATGTGTACTCGATGGGTATCACCCGCTCCTGGTATGGTGGGGTGGTAGGTGCGGGAAAGGGGAGAGACGAGCAAGTTGGGGGCGAAACTGAAGGGGCTTGCTTGCTAGTGCGTACTGAATGGGTATGACCCGCTGCTGCCGTGGTGGGGTGGGGGTGGGGAAGGGTGGGGAGGGCGGGTGAGGGGGGGTGAGGGGGTGAGTGAGTTAGGGGCGAGGCGAGGCTGCAGGAGTGAGACTGTGTACTCCATGGGTGTGACCTGCTCCGCCGTGGTGGGGTGGGGATGAGAGGGATAAGGGTGCAGGCATGCATGGTGCGAACAGTGGAGTGGATGCAGGATCATGGCATGTGGATGAAACATCATGGCATGTGGATGAAACATCATGGCATGTGGATGAAACATCATGGCATGTGGATGAAACATCATGGCATGTGGATGAAGCATCATGGCATGTGGATGAAACATCATGGCATGTGGATGAAACATCATGGCATGTGGATGAAACATCATGGCATGTGGATGAAACATCATGGCATGTGGATGAAACATCATGGCATGTGGATGAAGCATCATGGCATGTGGATGAAACATCATGGCATGTGGATGAAGCATCATGGCATGTGGATGAAACATCATGGCATGTGGATGAAGCATCATGGCATGTGGATGAAACATCATGGCATGTGGATGAAGCATCATGGCATGGCATGGTGTGCGTGCAGGCACGCATGCATTGGGGCATCACCGTGGAGAGTGCGGACGTCAGCAGGCACTTGCGAAGGGAGGATCGCAGCAGCCGTCCATCCACAATGAAATCGAACGGTTGAGGTGCGTCTGAACGGATAAGGAAAAGTGGGGAGGTAGGATTATTAGAATGCCTCACTGTTGGCCGTCCATCCATGATTGGATCCAACGGCTCTAATGAGTTGGAAATGAGGAGATTAAGGAAGGGGGGAACGGGCGGAGAAGAGGAGAAATTCAATGGGGGAACGAACAGGTCTCAAGGAAGAGGCGTGGCGTGGCCGGTGCCACCAGGGGTTTATCAGAGGTTCAGGGGATAATACCATCCGCAAGCAACCGGCGGCTTCTAGGAGAAGAGCTGGCGAATATGAGATCAAATCAGCTAGGCTTTCACATTTAGGTGCCGGGGTTCGGGTTTAGAGAGCTCGGGTTCGGGGCCTAGAGGCATGGGGTTGAGGAGATATAAGGCATGCTGCACCGAGAGGGCACGGAACGAACTGAAATCGTAGAAGCTAAGGGATTTCGGGTGACTAAGGGGGGAGACGAGGGTTTGATGAGACCAGATGGTGGGCGGGCGCCCTTGATTTGAGGCGAAGAGTGGAGACAGGAATGGGCGAGAACGGCATTCATAGGACTGACGAGAGGGAACGCGCCCATGAGCCTGACAAGTCATTTGTGATTATATAATTCACCGTTACGTGGTAACAATACCGTTCGCTCGATTCTGTTGCGTTTGCCGCAGCTAGCGGCGACTCTATGCCTTCGCGATCCAACCAACAGCACACGATCTCAGCGTTACGTGGTAACATAATCGCTAACTAGATCCTGTCGTCAATGGCATTACCGCGGCCTAGCAGCGTGTTGATAACTTCGGACAGGCCGTAGCGCGTGAGTCTGACGGGCACAGTGAACGGCGTTGACGGAACCGTCAGGTGCGCCGGCAGACGCGTCGTGAAGCGAACCTGCACCTGACGGTCGTCCGTGCCGGCCGCTACCGGAGCCATTTTCCGAGGGGATTACGTGGCGCGATGCGCCGAGTGCAGTAGGGTGTGAAACTGTGGGAAGGCGCAGGGACGATGCTATGGGGGGTGTGATGGGTGAGAGTAGCTGTCTGTCTGTTCCCGATGGTAATGAATGCGTTTAGAGAGAGTGCGCTAAGGGAGTGAATAGCAGTTATTAGCTGGAAATAGCATGAAACTAAAAACAGAAATGAAATGAAAAAATAATTAAAAAAAAAAAACAGTAAAGTGAATGAGCTTCAGCAGAAAAATACACGAGCTTGTGGCGAGAATCGCGAAAGCATGCACCCTGCTTCATCGAGGTTCGGTTGGGATGGTTACTTCGTTGGTACCGCCAATGACCCTTCACCTAACGCAATCTGTTGATCGCATTCGATCGGGTCGGCTCATATTAAGAGATATACTTTGGGTCTCCCCACCAATATTTTTTCTTTTATTGATATAATTCACGGAGAATACAAGTGCATAATGTCAAACGGTTAACTAGCTTAGGGAACATTGTTAGAATAGGTAGGAATGGTAGACTAGGTCGAAGGGTGGGGTACAAGAGAGTATCGAGCAGGGTCCTCGCTATCAGACATTTTTGTCTATTTTTCTCAGTTTCTATACGGATTTTTTTGGATTAGTATGAAGGGCCGGTCAGAATCATGTCAAACATTATACTTGTGTTGTTGCTGTGTAGGCTACAGTGGGTTAGCCTTTAGGGGGTACACAAACTCTAGGGTTTTGCATTTGTACTCCCAACTTCTCATAGTGCACTCACTTCTCTCATTCTGACATGGTATCGCGAGCCTAGGTTAGGAACCTAGGACCGATCGTTCTACGGGCCCACCGTTCCGTCAGTAGTGCCCTCGTGCACCTTCTCGTTCTTGCGCCCTCGTGCGCCTCGCTCCTAGGGCGCCCTCGAGCGCCCCGCTGTTTGGCCGCGTCGCACGCTAGCCGCCCGCGCGCGGCCCGTTTTTTGCCCGCGCAGCCCGCTAGCCGCCCGTGCGCGGCCTGTTTCTGACGCGCGCGACCCAGCAGCCGCCCGCACCGCCGCAGCCGCCTACGAGCAGCCCGCTAGACGCCCGTAGGCCGCCGCGTCGCTGCTGCAGACCGCTGCCCGCGCGCAACTACAGCTCGCGCACAGCCGCCGCAGCCGCCCGGGCCCGCCGTCGCGCCGCCCTGCCTATCCAAGCGCACCGCGCGACCCAGACCGAGCCGCGCCGCCCTCACTGAGCCGCGCCGCCCTGACTGAGCCGCGCCGCCTGGACCGAGCCGCGCCGCCCTGACCGAGCCGCGCCGCCCTGCTGTGCCCCACCTGCAGCATCTACTGTTCCTGCTACTGCTCCTACTGCTACTGCTCCTGCTGCTACTGTTCCTCCTCCTGTTACTACTACTATGGCCAGTCCTACTGTGCTTACCTTTGACGCTGAGGGTCGTCCTATTAAGTTCGATGTTTGGCTCGATGACCTTCACCTCTACCTTCAGATCACCGCCAAGGACGATATTTCTCTTTATGACCACACGTCCGGCGCCGCTCCCGCTCTTGCTGCCGATGCTGATAGCACCTTGCACTCGCAATGGCAGACCCGTGACGCTCACGCTCGCCTAGCCGTTCGCAGCCACCTGCCGTTAGATGAGCGCGAGCATTTTGGCCAGCATAAGACCGCCAAGGAACTGTACGACGCCGTAGTCGCGCGCTACTCCTCCCCTGCCACTGCTACTATAGGCCGTCTCTCACTGCCCTACCTCTTTCCCGACCTGTCCGCCTTTGCCACTGTCGCTGACCTCATCACCCACCTCCGTACCAGTGACCTCCGCTACCGTGCTGCCCTCCCCCCCGATTTCCTCGCTAAGAACCCCCCCCCCCGATGTACCTCACACTGTACCACCTTGTCACCCGCCTCCCTGACTCCCTTCGCACTGTCAGGGACCAGTTTCTCGCTCTCTCCCCCACTGACCTCACTGTCGACCTCCTCGAGAAGGAACTCCTAGCAGCTGAGAAGAGTATTGTAGCTGTAGGTGCCTCTCGTGGTGACCCCCGCACCCCCTTCTTTGAAGGGTGCTCCCCCTCCCCCCTCCTCCCCTCCATTGCATCTGCTGCTGCTGTCGACTACCTCGGTGCTGAGGGAGTCGGGACTGCGTCTGCTCCCCGTGGGAGGCGCAAGAGCGGCAAGGGCAAGGGGGGCAGAGGTGGTGGAGGTGGAGGTGGGGGCGGCGGCGGTGGAGGGGGTGGGGGGGGCGGGGGTGGTGGCGGAAGAGGGAGTGGCGCGGGTGGTGGGGGGGTCAGTGGCGGCGCAGGGGGTGGTGGCGGCGGCGGCGGTGGTGGGGGTGGGGGTGGTGGAGGAGGTGGTGGCGGTAGTGGCGTTGGTGGAGCGGGTGGCGGGCGCAGTGGAGCGGTGCAGCGTGGGGGGTTCGGAGGTGGTTAGAGGCAGCCGCAGCAGCGTCCTGGCGAGACTCCCTCGCCCCAGCAGCTTCGTGAGTGGTACTCTCAGCGTGGGGGGTCTGGGGGTGGGGGCATTTGCTCGTACGTCATCCGCACAGGTGATCGCGCTGGCCAGACTTGTGGGAGGTTCCACCCGACACAGCGCTGCTTCTCTCGCCTCGATGACGCCTGGCGCGAGCAGTTCCCTGACGCCTCTGAGCTGCCTCGCTGGGCTGATCTGCTTAGGAAGGGAATTGATATCTTTGCTCTTGATTATGATGCTATCCTTGCTGCCATGTATGCATTGACTATTAGTGCTGAGGGTGACTGTTACCTGAGTGTGCCGCCTGACCCAGGTATTGGTACTGGTATGGCTGCTGCGCTAGGTGCTAGTGCGTCTGCGTCTGCTGGTACTGAGTCTGCTACAGCACTGCACACCTTCACCCTGGACTCAGGTGCTTCCCGCTGTTTCTTTCGTGACCGCACAGTCCTTGAGTCACTCGAGCGGCCTGTTGCTGTCTCCCTTGCTGACCCCTCTGGGGGCCCGGTCCTTGCGACCTCCTCCACTGTCCTCCCTTGTCCTGCGGCCCCGTCTGGCACTTTGTCGGGTCTTTACCTCCCCTCGTTCTCTACGAACTTGGTGGCGGGCTCTGCTCTCCAGGACGGGGGTGTTCACCAGTTCACCCCTGCCTATGAGCGAGTGACCCACTGTACGTGTGCTCGGACGGGTCGCCACCTGGCTACCTTCACTCGGCAGCCGGGGTCCGACCTGTACACACTGACCACTGAGTCCCCTCAGGTAGCTGCGTCTGCGTCTGCGTCAGGTCAGCTGTCGGCTCCCTGCTCGTGTCGCTCCCTGTCGCACCAGACCGTCCTCTGGCACCACCGCCTTGGTCACCCCTCCGTGCAGCGCCTTCGTGGCATGCACTCCCGTTACCTTGTCTCTGGTCTTCCCAGAGTTCTCCCTCCCCTCCCACCCTCGCCTGCTGTCTTCCCTGTGTCGAGGGGCGGCAGCGCGCCACCCCTCACTCCTCCTCGTTCCCTCCCACAGAGGCTCCCCTGCAGACTCTTCACCTGGACGTGTGGGGCCCAGCCCGCGTCCGGGGACAGGGCCACGAGCGGTACTTCCTGCTGGTCGTCGACGACTACTCGCGCTACACCACGGTCTTCCCCTTGCGGACCAAGGGTGAGGTCCCTGATGTTTTGATCCCTTGGATCCGCGCTGCTCGTCTCCAGCTCCGCCAGCGGTTCCAGTCGGACTTTCCCGTCCTGCGTCTGCACTCTGACAGGGGTGGCGAGTTTTCCTCTGCCCTCCTGGCTGCCTACTGTGCGGAGCACGGCATCCGCCAGACTTTCACTCTTCCGGACTCCCCACAACAGAATGGGGTTGCTGAGCGCCGCATTGGTCTAGTCATGGAGGTCGCTCGTACCTCTTTTTAGAATGAAGAATGGATGATGCATTGATGTTGGTTGGGGTACATATAGCTAACCCTAAGTTTTGTACCCCCTAAGACAAACCTCACTATAGGCTACAACATTTGACACACCCCCATAGCCTAAGTGAGGGGTGTCTAGCAGAACCAAACGAGTACGGTCACAAGACCAGTCCAAGAAACGAAGCTCAGGGTGGATCACAACGTCACCACACAGTCTGAGCACAAACAACAGTGGCCACAAGGCCAGTCCAAGAAGTAACAGAGATATATAGAAAGCAAAGTAAACAGTACACTCAAGTCTAAGCAACACGAGAACCAGTGTCAACAAGGCCTAACTGCACACAGCACCTCTGGTGGTCACAAGGCGGAAGCGCCTTGGTGAAGATGTCTGCAGTGTTGGCCTCGGACTCCACAAACTCAAAGCGAGCCTGTCCACGCCTCTGCAACTCTCGCAGAAGAAAGTACCTGACGTGAATGTGCTTCACTCTGCTCTCCAGTCGTGGCTCTCGACAAAGGAGAATCGACGCCTTGTTGTCAGTGAACAAGGTCGGTGCAGAGCTCGGCCACTCACCAAGGTCGGTGAGTAAGAAGGTCAACCAACGCAACTCCTGTGCCGCCATGGCACCAGCGTAGATCTCAGCCTCAGCTGTAGAGGTCGAGACCGAAGAGGAGCGCGTGGACCGCCAGGAAACAGCTCCAGAACCCAGGCTGAAACAGTACCCCTGAGTAGACCTGTGAGTCTCAGCGTCGTCAGCGTAAGAGGAGTCACAGTGACCAGTAAGTACGACAGACTGCTGCCCTCCAAGAACTAGCCCCACGCCTGATGTCGTCGCTAGGTACTTCGCCACCCTCACAGCCGCTGTCCAGTGAACAGGACGGTGTCTCCCTGGCGCAACAAAGCGCGCAAGAACGCTGAGAGGGAAGGCGAGGTCCGGGCGAGTACAAGTCATCAGGTACATGAGGCAACCCACAAGCTCTGCGTAGGGACCACTAGGCTCGAACGGCTCGTCAGGAAAGGGTCCAGTGAGTCTGTGGTCAACAGCAAGAGGTGTGCGCTGTACTGTGGAGTGCTGAAGCCCGAACCGCTGAAGGACCTGCTGCACCATGTGTGACTGTGAAAGTGTAATGGTGCGAGCAGCTCTGTCCCTGGTGATCTGCAGGCCAAGGTAGTGGCGCAGCTCACCAAGGTCAGTGCAGGTGTGTCTCTTCTGCAGTTCGGACTTCACGTGTGCCAAAGCAACCCTGTCAGGAGTGGCGAAAACAAGGTCGTCAACGTAGACCAGAACAAAGAAAGGTGTGGAGCCACGACGAACGAACAGCGACGGGTCAGCAGAAGACGGCTGGAACCCAAGGTCAGACAGGGTAGAACGCAGGGTGTCGTGCCACTCACGAGGAGCCTGACGAAGACCGTAAACCGGTCGCCTCAGCCTCCACTGGGTCCCAGGAGGGAAAGAGCCAGTGAAGGCAGAGGGACGACGCAGCCAGACCTCCTCGTGAAGACTGCCCTGAAGGAAAGCAGTAGAGAAGTCGAGAGAGTGTAACTCGTAGTCTCTCTGTGCTGCTACGTGTAGTAACACCCGAAGAGTGGTCATCTTCGGGGTGGGCGCGAAGGTCTGAAAGAAGTCAACTCCCTCGCGCTGACTGAAACCTCTAGCCACGTAGCGCGCCTTGAAGACCGGGGGAGAACCCGGTGGCCGCTTCACCCTGTAGATCCACATGCCGTCGACTACGTTCGCCCCAAGGGGGGGAACCTCATCGACGTAGGTGCCTGTGGATCTGTAGGAGGCCATCTCTGCGTCCATGGCGGCTCTCCACTGAGAGGCCCAAGGCCCTGACACTGCCTCAGCGTAAGTGCGAGAAGTCGGAATGTCAAGGGCGTCGGGGTCACCCTCAGGGGCGAGGAGCATGGCACAGAGATGAGGGGAAGCGGCGGCCAGGAACTCTAGCTCGAACTGCCTGTCCTCTAGGGCGTCACAGCCAAGGGCAGACACACCCCCGACGGCCAGAGGACTGGAAGGAGGAGCAGCCACAAGAGCGGTGGCGAAGTCAAGGCGGCGGGTAGAGGCAAACTCAGTGACTGCGGCAGTAAGAGCGGACACAGAGGACACAGAGGCACGAGGGTGGGTAACAAGAGAGGCGAGAACACGAGAGAGAACAGGACGGTACGTGTGGTAGTAGTCAGTGACAGGAGTAGGAAGCGACGCAGTGAGGGCCGACTCAGGAGGAGACGGAAGCACAGACGGAGACGGACGAGGTGGACGAGAACAAAGGAAGGCTGTACGAAGGTCAGTGAAGGGAACAGGAGACGAGGGACGAGCACGAGGGGAGCGACGAGAGGCCCAAGTCTGAGAAGGAGGAGGGGACAACGAAGACTGAGAACGAGGGAAAACAGCGGGAGAGGGGTCAGGAGGAGGAAGCGGAGGACCAGAGACGGGAGGAGAGGGGGAGGAGGAAGGAGAGGGAGAGGGGAGACCAAGGGTCCGAAGACCCGAGACAGGAGGAGGAGACGGCAGCTGCTGCTGCTGCTGCTGCTGCTGCTGCTGCTGCGGCTGCTGGGGCTGCTGCGGCTGCTGCGGCTGCTGCTGCTCCAGCGGCTGCTGCCCCTGCTGCTGCTCCTGCTGCTGTCGCTCCTGCTCCTCGAGCCGCTGCAACTCTCGCTCCTCTCTCTCCAACTCCAGCTGCTCCTCACGAGCACGGCGAACACGAGCCTGGAACCTGGTCGGGTAGGGGTGGGGGGAAGGAGTAGTGTCCGGGGCAGCGGCAGCCCCAGAGTCGACCTCCGAAGCACCAAGCACACCACCCCCAGAGGCAGCACCAACACCAGCTCCAGACCCAGGCTCTCCAGAAACCGAAGGGACACCCTCACCCCCAGACGCAGCACCCCCAGACTCCGCACCAGCACCCCCAGACTCCGCACGACCAGTACCAGCCCCCGGAAGACAAGAGTCCTCTGCAACCCGCGGCTCAGCTCCAACTCCAGCACCCCCAGAACCAGAGACCTGTACAGGGACAGTCGCAGGACCAACCTCCCGAGAGGGAGCACCTGCAGGAGGCGGCGAGGAAGACTGTGGGGAGGGAGGCTGTACAGGGGGGGCTACCGAAGGGGGAGGGCTAGCCTGAGACACACCAGACGGGGCTGGACCAGGGGGGGGAGGCTGTACCGGGGGAGCAGGCGGGGGAGCGGCGGTCAGGAAGAGAGGGGGGGGAGGGACCGGGAGACCTCGACTGGGGTACCTGACGTAGTAGGGGGTGGACTCCTCGAAACGGACGTCACGGGAGTCAAAGAACCGGTGAGAGGGAGGGTGGTAAAAGGTGAAGTCAGAGGAGTCCTCAGGGAAACCAAGGAAGACACAAGGAATGGCGCGAGGCGAGAGCTTGTCCGCGGAGGTGTCGCGGACAAGAGCCAAGCACCCCCAGACACGAAACCTCGACGCGACACCAGGGGACCCTGTCCAAAGACTGGTCGGTGAAGCCTCTGGCCGAGAGACGCGTGGCCAGAGGTTCAGCTGGTGCGCGGCGTACCTGACCGCGTATGGCCACAGGAAATGGGGGGCACGGGCGTGAGTCAAGGAGGTGCGGGCAATCTCCATGACCAGGCCTATGCGACGCTCAGCAACCCCATTCTGCTGTGGGGACTCCGGAAGCGTCCAGGACTGACGAATGCCCTGTTCGCGACAGAATCCAGCGAGAATGCCGGAGCGAAACTCGCCCCCGAGGTCAGAGTGGAGACAGCTGACACGACGACCACGAGTGTCCTGGGTGGTAAGCAACCACCTGATCAGCGTAGAAGTCACCTCAGACTTCCTCGCCAGGGGGAACACTGTGGTGTAGCGGGAGTAGTCGTCAACGACCACCAAAAAGAAACGCTCACGCTCAGGGCCAGGGCGAGGAGAGGGGCCCCAGACGTCCAAGTGCAGCGTCTCAAAAGGCTCGGTGGCCGGACGAAGGGAGGAGGAGTGAGGGGTGGCGCGCAGCCTACCCTCGACGCAAGGACCGCACGGTGGTGCAAGGGACGGCGGCAGCGACGGCAAGACATGCGAGAGACCTAAGACAAGACGTTGACGAGACATAGCGCGAAGACGAGGAGGAGAAGGGTGCCCCAGCCGGTGGTGCCACAAAACGGTGGGGTGGGCAAGCGACCGACAGGAGCACGACGCAGCGACCGGACTAGACGGAGGAACCTGACAAGACACAGCTACCTGGGGGGACGGAGCAACCTGGTGAGACGCGAGGACTCGAACGGGGGGCAAAACAGGGGCCGGGGGCAGGAGGGGCGGCTGTGGCTGCGGCTGCGGCGGCTGCTGCTGCTGCTGCTGCAGTCGCTGCTGAGCCAGCGGGCCAGTGTGAAGAGTGTAGAGACCGGAGCCCGGCTCAGCAGTAAAGGTGGCCAGCGGCTGGTAAGAGTCTCCGTCAACACACACCGCAGTCTCTCCGCTAAACCACACACCCACGTGCTGACTCACGAGGGGTCGCACGCCCACCAAGTTCCGGGAGAACGAGGGGACGTGAAACCCAGTGAGAGACCCAGAAGGAGCAGCCGGACACGGCAAGGTGGTAGTGTGACGCGCGGTGACTGGTCCCGAAGTGGGATCAGCCAGCGCCACAGAAACAGGCGCAGGAAGAGGCGTAAGTGTCGTGCTGTCACGAAAGAAGCAGTGAGAGGCTCCAGAGTCCAGCGTGAACGACAGCGAACCGTCCTCTGAGGTAGCCGCTGGACTAGAGTCTACACAAGAACCTACACTAGCAACAGGCAACTGAGCAAGGCTAGCACCTAAGCTAACAACACCAGAGTAAACAGAGTCAGAAACACTAGAGTCAACAACAGCATACATAGCATGGGGACTACCAATCAGATCAACTAACTGCTCAGCAGACATGCCCCACAGAGCGGAGCCGTAACGCTGAACAAGAGGCAGCCAGTCAGGGGCAGGAGCACCAACCCCGTAGACCAAACGAACCGTGTCAGTGAGCTGAGCAAAGCACTGACCAGGGGGGTGAAACCGG